CTCGTCGCAACTCAGCCCAATGAAGGGACTCGCGTAAATGTGGCGTAGTTGAGAAGCATGAAGCCAGTTTGACAGAGACTGCATCAGTTTTATGAAGCTATACTTGCATGGGGTAGAGCTCACCACGTGAGACACGGCATTCGTAGGCATAAGAGAGGAGCGGGCAAAAACATTGACGTCCTAAAATCACAAGGTGTAGTAGGTTCCGTAGCTCTTTTTTCGGAAAGCCGGGGCACTTCCGCTTCGCTAGGAAGCGGACGAGCTTCACCCAAGTGTTGATCGGCGCGTCACACTGGCAGATGAAATGCAGGACCCACAGCAGTGCGATGAGTCGTCCCTTCTCGAGATCTTGGGCCTGTGGGAAGTCTGATATCTTCTTTTGCTTCTGAGAGTCTTCCATGGCCTTCCTCTTCGCCTTGATGCATGCCTTATGCCGTGTTGACCGGCCATGCCTCTTCATTGCATGTGTCTACACGTTAACTGCGCCCTCCCCATGTCGGCCATATTTGGTGCCCAGGACGCCATGATCTGTACACTCACTACATCGCAGGGATGGAAGGCCATTTTTAGTACGACACGGGAGCAACCAAGGAAACCGCTCCTGCCAGTCTGACTTGAAATTTTGCAGAGCTTGAAGATACAACAAGTCAGCAGCCTCTCCAAATTCCTCATCAGCGGTGGCTGCCGACTGGATGCGCGACTCCAGTGGTGTAGCGGTAGAAGGGCCAGCCACTGGAGTCGCGCTCGTTGGCGTAGTTGACGCAGCACCGCCTGCCGACTGCTCGGCATGCCGTGTCGTCGTTGTCGGAGGGGCTGCATCCACCGGTGGAGCACGCGACGGCTTGTGCCTCCGTGATTGAACGGTGGCGCGAGCTGTGGCGAACGTGATGGCGGCAGGATGTTTGTCGACGGTCGTCGGAAGCCGAAACGATAGCAACGCTTGACGGTACGTTTGTTTCGGGGGAGAATTAGGCGCACCGCGATCTGCTCCACTACCGCCATCACCGGCCGCTCCGACCGCCTGCCCTGCGTCACCTTCTGGGCTATGAGGGTGGGGCGACACACGGCCAGCATCACCACCCGGGCTGCATTGGATCAGGGAGAATCGCGGAGCGTCGTGAGCCGAAGAGCGGGGCAGCGACGACGAGCCAGCGTCGCCACGCGCAGGGCTGCGCACAAGCATGGACCCACGCGCAGCCTCGGCAGAGGGGATGCAAATGCACGGAGAGGAGACTGAAGCCACCACCGGCGGACTGTATATGCGAGGAGAAGAGCGCGCAGACTCTCGTGCAGGACTGCGCACGACGGGTGACGCGCGGCCAGTGTTAATCGCGGGCCTCTGAGGCGTAGTAGACGCAACAGCAGATCTACACTGTGGACTGCTAGGCAGGGGAGGGAAAGGGTCGATACAAGTATCAGCGACACTCCACACGGTGCCCTGCCTTGCAGGACACACAAGAAAATCCAGCGCTGACTGTGTTACAGGCTGGGCACTGGCTTGCGCTGCGGCCTCCTTGCTGCTGCACCGTTTTGAGCCTTGCACCTGCCATCCCTCATCGCCGCTCATGGCGTGAGATGGTGAGTGAGAGACGGTCGAGCAGGTGGTGCTGAGAGATGACACAGAGCAGCTAGCGAAGGTGGGGCGAAAAAACTGAGTGAGCTACAAGCCTTTTGCTACGTTTGCCCGCACCGCATGAAAGTGATGAACCATGAGGAGCATGCTCGGCTGGGACGAGGAGGGGCTGAGTGGTGGTCGCACCACGCGATACGGTGTGGCAGCGTGCATGCCAGCTTGATCGAAAGACAGGTGCATCGTCGTCGGCCTGGCAGGTAGCGTGTGCTTAGTAGTAACACGACACGACCCCCGATTGGTTGGTAAACCCCTGACTTCGCCCTAGACCAATCCCGCTCCTAACAGCTGTTCCCGCACACCCTCTGCTCCACGAAGCTGCTTGTAATTTTGACTAAGGACCAATCACCAGCCTCATCGCACGTGCTCTTTGACGAGGGATGTGATTTTGGTCAAGGACCAATCACGCCCCTCACACGTGCTCCATAACACACCCCATTCCAGCCGTGATTGTCAGGGGGGGGGGGGTGTACCGAAAAGACTCTGCTTCAGGCTGAAAATCCATGAAGGCTGATAATTCAAGGTGACCAAAACAAGAACATACTAAAATCCAGGCCTGCTCAAATGAGAACCCCTAAAATTTAGGCCAAGGGAATATCAAAAGCTGAAAAAACAGGACGAACCTTAAAAAACACCCTGCTATACAGCATTTCATGGCATTTTGTCCTGACTTATGAAGCCCTATTTTGAGACCCCCTAAAATAATATACAACTTCTTTATTTCTAAACATTTTGTACTTCCAACCTCTGATCGACACAGTGTCACATCGTTCTGTCTCGAATACGCAGCCGAGACAGCGAATGGTGGGGTGGGATGGCAGCTCCATTGCCCTACGGGGGTTTTGAGCGGGTTTATTGTCGCAGATCAACCAACGCAAGATCCAATGGCAAACCGCCCGAGAAGGCTGGAGAAGCAGAATCGCCACATCAGCGACAAGCTCAGCGAGGAGGCCCTGACGGCGGGAACCTAATTTCGCCAGTACACGTGGCTTGCGACAACTCCAAGGCTGCTGACGAAGTAGCCTGAACGACACACCGAGCCAAGCCACCTAACCAACGAGCAGATTTGACCTCCCTTCCTGGCCTTGCCTGGGGAATCTTGCCATCCCAGGTGTGGATGGGTGAAGCTGCTCTGGTGCCTTGGATGTGTTGCTTGGCCCTCCAGCTTCATTAGTCCTCTTCTCCACGAAGAGGGGTTCATTTTTGGAACTTTGGGTTTCAGGGCTCTCGTTAGCCTACCCTTCTGCGAACTCCCCACCCTTCAGCTTCTCCCTTCCCCATCAGGTACGTCTGAGTCCTATCATCTGGATTACCAGATTCAGTAGAGGTTTACGAGCAAGCTGTTGGTTCCTCGTTTGCGTAGGTTTGCTTACACGCTTCTGAGTAGGCTCAACCTCCCGAAGATCTGACACGTAGCCTTTCTTTTAACCCCCTTATTCCTCCAGTTTAACAACATGGGTAAGGAAAAGTCGCATATCAACATTGTCGTCATCGGTCATGTCGACTCCGGCAAGTCGACGACGACCGGTCATCTCATCTACAAGCTGGGTGGGATTGACAAGCGTGTGATCGAGCGTTTCGAGAAGGAGGCTGCTGAGATGAACAAGAGGTCCTTCAAGTACGCCTGGGTGCTGGACAAGCTCAAGGCCGAGCGCGAGCGTGGTATCACCATCGATATCGCCCTGTGGAAGTTCGAGACCAACAAGTACTACTGCACTGTCATCGACGCTCCCGGCCATCGCGATTTCATCAAGAACATGATTACGGGTACCTCGCAGGTCAGTGATATGTCATGTTGTTTGCTACCATATCCGTGGTTACGGTGCATGCCCCCTTTTTTTTTTCTTCCCCCAGATCTAACTAAGAGTTCGATTTTTCCCCACAGGCTGACTGCGCCGTTCTGATCATCGACTCCACCACTGGTGGTTTCGAGGCTGGTATTTCCAAGGACGGTCAGACCCGTGAGCACGCTCTGCTGGCGTTCACCCTTGGTGTGAAGCAGATGATCTGCTGCTGCAACAAGGTAAGCATGGGATTCCTGGATTCAGTCATGAATTCCTACCGATCATTCAGTCACGACGCTATAACACGATATGGTTATAAAAAAAACTTGATCTAGGTTGATCTGCTTTACCATGAAGCATCGGTCTGTAGAATCGTCACTGATTTCGTGCCTTGTTTTGCCTTCCAGATGGATGCCACCACCCCCAAGTACTCTAAGGCTCGTTATGAGGAAATCGTGAAGGAGGTGTCTTCGTACCTGAAGAAGGTCGGCTACAACCCCGACAAGATTCCCTTCGTGCCCATCTCTGGCTTCGAGGGAGACAACATGATTGAGCGCTCCACCAACCTGGACTGGTACAAGGGCCCCACCCTGCTGGAGGCTCTGGATCAGGTGACCGAGCCGAAGAGGCCGTCCGACAAGCCCCTGCGTCTGCCCCTTCAGGACGTGTACAAGATCGGCGGTATCGGAACAGTGCCGGTGGGTCGTGTGGAGACTGGCGTGCTGAAGCCCGGTATGGTTGTGGTGTTCGCTCCCAGCGGGCTGACCACTGAGGTGAAGTCGGTGGAGATGCACCACGAGTCCCTGCCCGAGGCGGCGCCCGGCGACAACGTGGGCTTCAACGTGAAGAACGTGTCGGTGAAGGAGCTGAAGCGTGGCTTCGTCGCGTCCGACTCCAAGAACGACCCCGCCAGGGAGGCTGCCAACTTCACGTCGCAGGTCATCATCATGAACCACCCCGGGCAGATCAGTAGCGGCTACGCCCCGGTGCTTGATTGCCACACGTCCCACATCGCCGTGAAGTTCGCTGAGATCATCACGAAGGTGGACAGGCGTTCCGGCAAGGAGCTGGAGAAGGAGCCCAAGTTTGTGAAGAACGGCGATGCGTGCTTCGTGAAGATGATTCCCACCAAGCCCATGTGCGTGGAGACCTTCTCTGAGTACCCTCCCCTTGGTCGTTTCGCTGTGCGTGACATGCGGCAAACAGTGGCTGTCGGTGTTATCAAGAGCGTTGAGAAGAAGGACCCCTCTGGTGCCAAGGTCACCAAGGCTGCGGCCAAGAAGAAGTAAGGTCATCACCGTGGGACCTGGGGTTTTGCCGGGAGTTGGCTGTCTGGGATTGCTGAGAGCTTGCAGCTCATGGCATAGCAATCTTGCTAGGGAATGGGCTAATTGTGTAGTTGGCTAGTTCAGACCCAGATGGACATGTTTTTATGACATTTTGACATTTTTGTCGGAAGCGTGTAAAATTTGGGGCTTCTTCTTAATCATGGTGTAAGCATGATAGATAATAGTTATGCGACAGAGTAGCAGCAACCAGTTTGAATCACTGGCACCAGTAATATAGTAGCATTATAGTAGATAGTTACACATAGTGGCACTGTCTAATATTCCCGATTGAATCACTAGAAGAACATATGACGTCGTTTGCCCGGTTTCAAGTCGAGGAAGGTGGGTGGTGTTAGAACGGGCAGGTGGGGAAATGGTTCAGATTGGATAACGTAGGCCTCAGGCTCTCGCACTGGCGACAAGAAAGGCTCCCTGCGCGAAGCACGATAACTGTAGTGTTTCTTTGCCAGCATTCGCGAAAGCACAGGCCTCTTATGGCAGGCCTCGATCCGAGGTAGGGGTGGCATGGCCGAAGCCAGTAGCAGGTGCGAACCATCATCGTCTGTCCGACTCCAGATACTAGAATTGATTGGCGCCATGACAGGATCATCGACGATTTTCTCCGGATTGCCGTGTCGTCTTGGAACAGAGTACAGCTTGCAGCGAAATGGCTCGACGCGTTCATACGACGAGGTATCAGCATCGCTATCAGGAGGCTGGGGGACATCAGCATCGCCATCCATTGCTGCTGTCGGGCCACTGAAATCGCTGCCAGATGTCAAGTAGTCGGCATCGCTCCCAGATGGTGGGCTACTGGTAGTAGCACCGCTATCTGTTGACGCCATGGTTGCTATAGCCCTGGGATAACTCAGGCTCTTTCGTTTCAGCAAGGTTATCCGCTCGACAATGCCTTCGTCAGCGCGTCGATTCATGCTGCCATCATGTCTGCTAGAAGGGCTGCTAACATGTGGCGCGGACTGATAAGTTATCATGTACATCCCGACGATTGTGCATGAAACGGGGTAGTAGACATGCGAAGGGAAGGTTTCGAGAGGAGTGGGGAAGGTGAAGGAAGGTGTGCTGCGTGGTACGAGTGGTTCGGTCAACTGCTGGTGGATGCTGGTCCACGGAGATGGTAGCGACGAGGATAGCATTTGAATCAACTCAGAAGGAGGAGTGCTGTGTTCCAGGATTGGTTCTGTCAGCTGGATGCTTGCCCACGGAGATGATAGCGACGAGGATTGCGAGGACGGCAGGTGCTGACGATTTGTTAACCATGCATCGAAACTAGGAAGCGACGTGAGATCTGCTTCTCTCATCGTGAAAGAGTCCGAAAACAGGGAGCGAGGAAGTAGGAAAATCAGGCGACGACGGAGATGCTTATTCATTTACATAAACAAGCCTTTAGCCTGGCGAAAAGCATTTCAAGTGGACTTTATTCACGAGATCACCGACTGGCACACCAAGACGAAGCGGCTACAGAAACCTACTGACAAGGGATCCTAGAAGAAACCTCAGACCCAGTCCAGTCCACCACACGAGACGCCTTCGATGGACATGGGTGGAAGGGAAGGAAGCCTCCCCACAAGTGAGGTTTCCATTGGCACAGGGGAGAACTACTCAGCTGTAGCGTGTATGCCAAGAATTCCAGCTTCCGCCGGCGCAGCAGCACCACCCACACTGGGGAAGGGGGGGCTTGTTTGTTAAGGGATGCACTGTGGCAGTAATGAGGTCTGGTCCGGTTCATTAGTGCTACCAAACATGTTCAGGCTTGCTGAACAGTAAAGGCTCTCGGATTGTGTCTTGTTTTTTTGGTTGCGGAGCAACCTATTGCAATCGATCGGGCTGGTTTTTTTTTCAAGTTTGTGAAATAAAAATTAAATGCTTTTTGTGATGGAAATAAAACATTTTATGTATAATAAAGTCTCATCATGAAATGCTCCGCAATCCTAAGACGATCTCGTCGCCTCTTGTTTTTTTTTTTTTTCCTAGTACTGTAGCTTGAATCATCAAGCGATGGAGGAAGTATGAAGGCCAAAATCATGGCTATACAGCACATCAGCAAGGGAAGGCAAATTATTATTTTCTATATACAATGTCACATCTGATTCAAAATGCATGTCGTATCTTATGAAGTGGTAGCGCATTCCATGGACTTGGTAAGAGGGCATGAATGAGGAAGACGTGGCAAAATTAGAGAAGTGGATTCATATGCGTGCACAGGGCGAGGAGAACGAGCTGCTGTGGAGCAAGAGCCGATGCGTGGAAAGAAAGTCTTGAGAATTAACCGCTCCAGCACAGGGGGTTCCAGGCGGAAGGAGGGAGAGTCCGGCAGCCAGTCCCTGCACAGCACAGTAGTCAAGAAGTAAAGGGTGGGACACGAGAATGTTGGTTGGGTTACTGTGCAGTCCCTTTGCATGTGCATCACTTGTTGACGGAAGCCATGCGAAGAATGTTGGTTGAGTTGCTGTGTAGTCCCTTTGCATGTGCATCACCTGTTGACGGAAGCCATGCGAAGAATGTTGGTTGGGTTGCTGTGTATCTGGACATGTGAGTGCAAATGAAGGAATGCATACTGCAAACAGGCTTACATATGGGGATCCACAAAATCACTGTAGAGGGTTGCAATATGAGTGGCCCATCTTTTCCGCATGGCCACACGGCAATCAGCATCCGCTATTGGCCAGGAGAGCTGCTGCAGAGAGATCGACTCAAACGCCTTGTTGAAATCTGAGAGCCTGGGAAAGGGGCGAGGAGGAGAGCTAGGGAAAGTCAGGGAGTGTAAGGGTGGCACAAAACGCGCTTAAAATGGATATTTCCCCTCGTGCCACAATAATGTACTCCTGCAACTTTCACTCTTACCTTGCACTTGGTCACCCACCCACCCATTCGCCCACCCACTCACCCTTTCCCCCTCCCTGCTCTCCTTCGGTTCCCTTCCCTGGTTTGATTCCCCCCACTCCTTACTGACCTCTCCTCCACCTGGCGCCGGCTCATCTTCTGACTCCTGTCAGGGGATGGCAACCCCTGCTGCAGCTGCCAATGCCACAGTGATGCAGCATGGAGAAATGTCATGGAGAGCGGGGGAAAGACAGGGCAGAGAGGGAAGGAGGGGGAAGTGCACACGGGGAGAGTGAATGAGTGAGTGAGTGTCAGAGAGTCGGTAGGAGAGGGAGCAGTTAAGTCAAGCTGCTAACATTGCTGCGATGCTACTTGCTTACATGGATGCCACGTCAGCACTGCTCACCTTCCTGGTAGCTGCAAGCAGGAAGGCCTGCGAGTGAGACTCCACTGCAGCTGACAAGGGGGTGATTGCTGGGAAGCGCTGGCAGGCTCTGATTGGTCATGGGAGGGAGTGGGAGATGAGAAAACACAAAGGTGAGAGTTGCGGAGCAGAACGGTGCAGAGCGGTGCAGAGCACTCTATGCCTGGGAGTGAGCCTCCACTGCAGCTGACATGGGGGTGATTGCTGGGAAGCGCTGGCAGACTCTGGTTGTTCGACAAGGAGCATTGGGGAGGAGTGAAAGATGGAGAAATACAGCATTGAACAGAGCTTGGGCGTTTAAGAAGGGTAATCTGTACCCCTAACTCCAAGAGGGTTTGTTTTTAAAAGTGGAGATTCTTATCAAGGGCGTGAGGAATGAATGAGATCAATCAGAACAAGAACGCAAGAAAATGCCAAGAAAAAGGGGAGAAGTGAGGAGAGAAACGTGAGAAGAAACAATGGGTAAGGGAGATGGTGGTGAGAGAAGGAAGGGAAGGTGATAGGGGGTTGAGAAGAGAAAGAAGCAGATGCCAACACATGATCCTCCAATGATGGACTTACTGCTGAATGACGCATGTGTTGTTGAGCATGAACAGTGCTCTGATGACGTCATCATCACATGCAGCTGCCTTCCCCTCCACCACGCCCACAAGAGCCTTCACCATCCTTTCAGTCACCCCCATAAGTGTCACATCTTGGCTGCTCAACCCTCCCCCCGCACGTCCACCCTTCCAAAGGCTGGCCATACCCCCACCCCCAGGTGCTCCGCTCCCCGCTCCCGCTCCGCCCTTTCCCCCCCCTCCAAACTCCGAGAAAATGCCTGCCAAGGCTCCTGCATAGGTTCGGACCGAAGCTGCAGGCGCATCAGGTTCAGTTGGAGGGATGAACGGAGCAGGAGTGTCCCTGTGGGGTTTGGGGGAGGGGGCAAACAGGAGGGGGCAAACAGGAGGGGGAATATAAGACTGGAGAAGACAGCAGAATGTTGACAGTCAGGGGTTTCTGTTGTATTATGTCCCTAAACCAGAGAAAATGGGTGAAGGGGGGGGGGAGAGTGGGGCGGGACGGGTGAAGGGGGATAAGACAGGAGAGTGATTTGTGTCGGTTGAGACAGAAACGAATGGAGGGAGGCGGACTGAGGTGACCTTTGAGTTGACTCAAACGTCACCTCGTCACGTCGACACGACCGGAGAGTGATGTGTCTCCACCCACCGACACACATCCACCGACACACATCCACCGAAACACATCCACCGGCACACATCCACCGACACACATCCCCCGACACACATCCCCCGACACACATCCACCGGCACACATCTACCGACACACATCCACCGACACACATCCACCGACACACATTCACCGGCACACATCCACCGGCACACATCCACTGGCAAACCCCACCGGCAAACATCCACCGGCACACATCCAACCGGCACACATCCGACGGCAAACATCCACCGGCACACATCCACCGGCAAACATCCACCGGCACACATCCACCGGCACACATCCACCGGCAAACATCCACAGTCACCATCAGCGGTGGGTTCCCACTCGCACCGCTCTCACATGTCTATCCCTAACTCCGCCTGGACCACTCTTTCTTCCCAAATCATTTCCAAAAGTGCACAGTTGCCTCTAAACACACTTTTGCACATCCTGCAATCGCACCAGGTTCTTGATATGTTTTGTGAGTGTAAGGAAACGGGATTCCTGTAATCCGGGTTGTAGCTAGTAAAGCGTACACTGCCATAACGGGGTTGCTGCACAGCTCTGCCACGAAAATCAGATCGAGTCACCCAGATGTGGCCCTCACTCAACCCCTCACCAGCACTCACCAGTCTGCATACTCCTCAATGTGCGCCACCATGGGCAAGGGCTTGGGGTCCAGCTGTCTACATCGTCACATGCCAACATTCAGCCCCGCACCACTCAACCCCTCACCAGCACTCACCAGTCCACGTACTACTCTATGTGCGCCACCACGCGCGCCACCATGGGCAGAGGTATGGGGTCCAGCTGCCCCAACCAGCCATTCTCACAGGATTTCCCGACCACTCAGGAGTCAGGACTGGCCATCCACCTAGTTTTGAGGCGCCTCAAAACAGGACTGGCCATCCACCTAGTTTTGAGGCGCCTCAAAACAGGACTGGCCATCCAACTAGTTTTGAGGCGCCTCAAAACAGGACTGGTCATTCACCAGTCTGCATACTCCTCAATATGCGCCACCACACGCGCCACCACACGCGCCACCATGGGCAGAGGCCTGGGGTCCACTGCCCTCACAAGTCCATCCCTCACCAGGCAGCCCAGCACCAGCACTCACCAGTCTGCGTCTATGTTGGAAAATACGCGTATTGCGTTTTATACGCTAGCGTATATACGCTTGCGTATATACGCTATACGCTTGGATTTGGGGTCCAATACGGCAGGAATACGGCTGCCCGGGCAGGCAAAAAAATTTTGGCCGGGCAGGGAAAAAAAACCGGCGGGCAGCCGGGAGAGGGGGGGTGGGGGCCCGGGGGGCAGGGCATCAAGTTTGATTTTTTCTTCTTCTCCATTAAAATAACTTAACACAGGCATTTGTCACATCAAGAGCTTACTGCTAGCCCCTACCACTGCTATCACTGCTGCTACTACTTCTACAGCTGCTGCAGCCACTCTCGCCCACTGCTGCTGCTGACTGGTCCACTGCTGCTGCTGTTACTCCCACTGCTGCAGCTGCCTGCCCCCCTGGTGCTGCCGCTGCCACTCCCCCTGCAGCTGCCTCTGGTGACGGGTCTACTGGTACTCGTCCTCCATGACGAGATCCTCCCCCTCCTCCTCCTCCAGGTCGTCCTCCAGGTTGTACCCCGTGGGCACAGGGGCCTCGGAGCTGCACCCAGGAAGGACCAAGGACCCCCCGTCCTCCTTGTGCCAGTTGTGGACCTGGTGCCAGTTGTGGGACACATAGACCAGGTCCCGACACTTTTCGGCACCGAGGCGGTTGCGCTTGGCAGTGTGGACCGCCTCCCACACTGCCCAGTTACGCTCGCATGCGGCCGCTGAAACGGGCTGTGAGAGCACCCGACAGGCCAGTGCGGCAAGCTCAGGGTAGTCGGACCCATGCCACTGCCACCACCGCGCCATGCTCTGCCTCCCCTCCTTCACTGCTGCACGATCAGCAATGGCGGTGGGGAGCCCGAAGCTGCCCTTCAGAGTGATGAAGGCGTCGAGGCCGTCTTGCATCACGAGGGTTGCACGAATGGGCTCGCCATCCCTCATGAACTCTTTGTCTTCGTAGTGGCGGGCGATGAAGGCTTTGAATACCCTCGTGCACTCCATGTCCGAGGGGAAGATCCCCTCCTCCTGATTGGCCGGGTTTAGGATGCGGCCAACCACATGGAGGGGGCACGCCATGCTGCCGTCCCACCTCCTTTTCACCATGCGGCGGATGGCATTGGCGTCCGCAGCGGTGAGCCCCTCCAGCCGCGCCTCCTCCAGCTTCTCATCGACATCAACGGTGAGCTGCAGCATGAGGTCGTACATACGACCCATCATGCCCTTCGCCGACGAGTCGGTGGCGCGCATTGCCATGAACGGCAGCCGCATGAGGTTGACAAACTGCAGGGCCTTGGTCCACCAGTCGGAGTCGAGTATGGCAGCGCTGAACGCCTCGCTGCCCGGCTTCCTCCCCCCATCCGCGAACCTGGCCCACTCCTCACTCAGCACAAGCTGAGTGAGAGACATCCGCACCTCGCACAGCCGGGACACGGAGATGAATTGGGTGCCGAAACGCGTGCCGGCCGGTTTCAGCACCTGTTTCCCCTTGCCCCCCTCCACCTTATCGCTCCGCATGTAGTTGCGGGTGAGGTGGTGCTTGCGGACGAAGGAGGTGATGATGTTGGCCTTCTCCACCACCTCCTTCGCCCACGCCATCCTCCCGATGTCCTCCATGAGGAGGTCGAGCACGTGCGTGGCGCATGGCACGTGCTCGATGTGGGGGTGCTCGGCGATTAGGATCCTGCAGGCCGCGGCGTAGTTCGAGCCGCCATCCATGCAGAAAGCGACGACGTTCTCCGGCCCAACGCGCTGGATAATAGGGCGGAGAATACCGGCAATATAGCCGCCGGTCTTCATTTCCATGTTTGTGTCCACAGCATCAGTAAAAACTGCTCCGGAGTCGTTGATAAGGAGGACGTTGGCGATGGGCCGGCCGTTCTGGTCCGTCATCATATCGCTAGCAATGGTGACGCCGCTCCGCCGCCAGCTGCTGGAGATGGGAACCAGCGCGGCCTCGATACTGGTGCGGCAGTCGCGCAGGCCGGCACCGCCGATGTACTTGCGCTTCGGGGGAACGTAGGAAGTGCCGGCGCGAGCGATGGCGGAGACCGCATTCCGGAAGAGGACGTGGTCCGCGTGATGCTCCGGCAGGCGCAGACCAGCGAAGAGGAGGCAGAGCGCCCGGTCCGCTTCCTTCTTACGGCAGGCGGACTCGTCACCGAAAAAATTGGTGATGCGCCCCTTTTTGCCGCTGCCGCAGCCGTTAACCGCAGACAGCGCTTGCTCCTCCGCCTCGCGCTTCCCCTCCCGCTCCCTAATTCGTGCCTCGTACAGCGCCTTAACTCCGTCGCGCACGTCTTGCGTCACCGCGGTGCAGAGGGTCACATCGCGACGACGAAGTTTGTTCCACTCGGCGAGGTGCTGCGCGCAACGCGTCATCCCGCCATTGAAGGTGTGCCCGCAATAACAGCAGCGGCGGTTTTCCGTAGTCTTGCCGTCCGCATTAAGCGCGGTTTCGAAATGCTTAAAAATAGGATGCGACGCATCCGTAACGTAAACAGTGCCGGAGGAGGAGGCAGCCTCGCCATCGTTAGTAGGTGCGGGCACGCTCGGGGGGGTTGATGGGGTGGACGACGCCATGACCACTACGGTGAAGTAAGAGGGGAACTGAGCTAAGCTAAGCTAGGGGAGGGAGAGGTTGGAGTTGGAAAATGAAAGGAGATGGTGATTCAGATCTAAACTATGGCGGGAATGGGGGACGACAAACACGGGATGCCTTCCCTCCACGTCCACGGCTGGTGAGGGGTGGGCGAAAAACCGCGGGCGAAAATTTCTGAGAGTTCGCGATGTCGCGAACTCGGCAAAAAAATTTTGATTTTTTTTTTTTTTTTGCCGGGCAGCCCCGATATTGCGTATCGCGTATTCCAAGCGTATCAGCGTATTGCGTATATTCGCAAGCGTATATACGCAATACGCAAAGCTTGCTGTGCGTTTTTTCCAACATAGGTCTGCGTGCCCCTCAGCATGCGCCACACCCGTGCCACCATGGGCAGAGGCTTCCACTCGCATGGCTCTCACAGGTGCATCCCGAGCATAGCCTGCCCCACTCAATGCCGCACCACTCAGCCCCTCACCAGTCCGCGTACTCCTCAATATGTGCCACCACCCTCGCCACCATGGGCAGTGGCTTGGGGTCCAGCTGCCCCCACCCGGGCGAGCTTGCACGCGGGGAGAAGAGCGGCGGTGACGCTCCCCGGGGAGAGAAGAGAGGTGGTGCTTGGTGCCGCGGCGAAAGCAGATCGGTCACTTGGCGCCTGGGGGATGGGCATGGGGATGGGGATGGGCAAGGGGGTGGGGATGGGCATGCATGGGGATGGGGATGGGGATGAGACAACTGCTGTGTGGAGAGTGTTGAAGCATGCTTGGACGACCCGGACTCGACTCGCGTGTGGTTCCTGTCACCTAGCCTCACGCCATGCTCCCCACCTGAGACACTTCTTTGTGCGTGCTGCCGCTGCTGCCAATGCTGGTGCTATGCTGCTGCTGCTGCTGCCATTGCTGCCCTCTCAAGTCCCTCTACCACCCACTCACACCCCTGTACGCCCCCTTTACCTGTGAGACTTCTTTATACTGCGTCCTGATGCTGCTGCTGCGTCTGCTGCCTCTGCTGCCTTCTCCAGCCCTTCAGCCATCCACTCAAGGGCGGCCAGAACGTAATTTGATTGAGGCGTTTTGGTACACGCCCTGTGCGCCCAGTGCGCTCAGTGCGCCCGCTTTACCTGTGAGACTTCTTTGTAGTGCGTGCTGCTGCTGCTGCTGCCACTGCTGCCTTCTCCAGCCCTTCAGCGACCCACTCAAAGACGCCCAGGACGCCCTCTGCCAGCTGCCTTGGGAGCTGCGTTGACCAGTCACATGCCAACACGTGTTCCCCTGGCTTGCCTGCCAGGTAAGCATCGAACTGAGACGGAGGGAGGAGGACAACGAAAAGATGGAAGAATATGATGTAACACGCAATTTCTTCCATGTAACGCGCCGAATTTTCCATGTAACGGGGTACATCACCTCATGTAACGCGCCGAATCGGCGAATGAGGTGTTATGCATGTGGCGTTCTTGTTTTCCGTTTTGTTTTGCTTTGTTTCTGCTTCTTCTTTTTTATCAGGTGACGAATTTGAAGTGCTTGCTTACCACAGGCGCAGAACGGCGGGCAGCTACAAACATTTCTGTGAGCAGCAGGGACTTGCGCAGGCTGCTCGGGGCAGAAGAAGGGTCGGCCAAGGCGCGAGCGTTGGAGAGGAGATGAGCCAAGATGGAGGACAGAGTGACGCTGGCTGCTGCGGTGGTGGTGGGTGTTGTGGTGTTGGTAGTGGCATCTGCTGTTGTGGCGCTGGTTGCAGTGGTGGTTCTCCTGTTGCTGCTGCTGCTGCTGCTTTTCCTGTTGCTGCTGCTGCTGCTGCATTTACTACTTGTACTGCTACTGGAGATAAGGAAGGCTGAGGAGAAGGAGAGGGAGCAAGAGGACGAATCGAATGAATCCTCTGATTCAACCTTGCTGCTCTCAGCCGCAGCGGCACCACTGCAACCTTCTGCACTTGTTTCCTTCTTAGCAATCCCTGCTCCAGCAGCAGCAGCAGCAGCAGCAGCAGCAGCAGCAGCAGCAGCAGACCCATCATTCGACCCTCTCCCTGCCGCCCCATTGTCCCAATCTCTGCTTACTTCCGCTGCCCTACAGCGCTCAACGCATGCCCGCCTCGTGTCACGCACGTCAACAGCCGTGCATGCCGGCACCGCCCCAGCACACGCTGCCTCGCGCTCAGCTGCCTCGCGCTCTGCGTTCTGCCTAGGCTCCGCCGTCAGTGTCGGCTCCCCGTCCAACCTGCTCCGGGCGTGCTGGGAGGGTGATGCGGCTTTGCTCCGCCGGGCAATAGCGTGCAGGGGAGCCGTGATGGAGAGCGGAGGGATGCGCGGAGACGGTGATGGGGATGGTGATGGTGATGCTGCTGCTGATGCGCATGCTAATGCGCGCGGCGCTGGTGATAGTGCCAAGGGTGCTGAGAACGACGATGAGGGTGGTGGCAGTGACACGTCAGCAGCATTCTCATCATCACTATCATCATTGTTATCATCACTGCTGCCATGCGCTTGCTCAGTCTTTGCAGTGGTGGCTGCGGCACCGGCAGTGACGTCACCAGGTTGCAGCAACGCCATCTGATGAGTTAAGGGGCAGTGGAAAGGGGTGGGGAACGGTTGCAGGACAAGTGGGAATGAATGAACGCATGTAGTGAGTGAGAACCTCTATAAATGAAGGTGGAGATGCAGCGGAGTTCCAACCGAAAGTGCATTTCGCCTCTGAGACTCCCACAACCCACTCACTCTCAACCCCACTCCCCTCTCCCCCTCTTCCTTTCCCCACACACACATGAGCGCACACCCACCAGCATGCCAACAGTCGTGATGTAAGGTTGGTTTTGAGACGTCCACCTTATAACACCCACCAGCATGCCGACAGTCGCCGTCCAATCCCGCATAGCACGCTCCACCTGCTCCCACGGCCTCCCCTCTACTGCCACGTCAGCACATGCCACGTCAGGCAGCTCCTCCACTACTCCGATGACAGCTGGACGGACAGAAAGGGGCTCCTTGCACCTACAGGCACGTCACGAGCAGGAGGTTTTTGAGTCTACTAAAAAATCGACTCATTACACACGTGCAGGAGGCCGCACAGAGACGCGCATAAGGTCGCACAAGAAACGGTCACACGTGCGTATTTGCATATTTGCGTATGCGCCTGTTCACAGGTTCAGCATGCATGCATGCACATCAGTAGCATAAGCCCGTCTGCGCTGCGCATGCGTACATGTACGGTTGATAGCCCAATGCGAACCGTGCATCAATGCGAACCGCGCATCAATGACGATTGCACTTACGAACGCGGTCACGGCGATTCAACAAGCCAAACCCGCAAAGGGGACAAGAGACAACCGCGTACCCGTTAAGCGTGTCTCGATACACGACAAGCTGTCCCACTGGATCCATCACAACCTCCCACGGCCCTCTTGCCTTCCCCTTGCCGTCCCCCGCGCCCCCCTGTCCGCTCCCCGTTCCGCCCTCCGCCCCTGCGTTCTCCCCGCGCGCAATCCCCGCCATCATCCGCTCCGCCACCGCTTGCGCGTTCTTCAGCGCGACCAGGGGCGGGAATTCCTGAGCCTTCCGCCGGCCCATTTCACACGGAAAACGCGGGCTTGCGATACCCGCGCTGCCCTCCTTAATCAATTCCGGAACTTTCTCCGCCTCTCTCTCCGCCTCTCTCTCCGTGTCTCCCCCCATTTCTCCCCCCACTTCTCCCCCCAATTCTCCCCCCAATTCTCCCCCCAATTCTCTCCCCGCGTCTCCCTCCGCCTCGTCCTCGTCCGACGACTCGTCCCCCTCCGCCACCAGCGGGCGCCCCGCGCATCCTCGCGCTCTCAAACCGAGCTTCGTCCGAACGACCCCGGCGGCGGCGGCTGCGACTCCTCGAGGGGAGGGCGTGGGGGAGCCGAGCAGCAGATCGGCGGGGCGCCTGAGAGCCAAGCCATGGCTTCTGAAGCCGACTCTCGGTCGGCGCGGCGACGCCAGGTCGAGGTACGTCGGCGGCAGGATGGCGGCGCGACTCGCGTCCGCCACGACGACTGCTCTCGGAGTCGGGTATTCCGTGGGCGAGTCGTGCGACTGGAGGCTTGGTGTTACAATTGGCGGCGGCGGAATTCGCGACGGAGAGCTGGCGACTTGGCGAACCTCGCCGCCGTCGCTGTGCTTTTTCGCCAGCATTCGCGAAAGCTTTCGTCGCGAGCCGTTGGTACTAGAGCCGTGGTGAGATGCCGTCACACCCGGCTGATGATGCGCCGTTAGTAGAGGAATCATCAGATTGGGACCGGTCAGACCACCATCGTCGCTACTGCTCTTCGGAAAGTGCTGAGAAGTTTCATCGCTGCTAACGACGCTACTAACTGTCATCGTCTGCGTCGGCGCGGGAAAGAAGGAGAAGGAAGGCATGCGCATCGAAGCGAGTAGTTCTCGCGACGCGTCACCGGCGGTTTCGGCGGCAACGGCGCCCGTCGCGGCGGAAGCACCGCCTTCGGCGGCAACGTCCCCGCTTTCGGCGACGGCTGATGGCGATGAGTGCTCGTCCGCCGCGTCGTTCCTCGCGTCCCAGCGCGAGTCGGCAGCGGGACTCCCGAAAGACGCGGAGGCTGGGTGTGCGGCGATACTACTCGGATCGCCCTTACTGGAGGAGGGCGAGCATTGCCTATGTACGGCGTCTGAGTGTTGGCTTCTGACTGACTCTGAGCGTGGGTGGTCGGGGTCGTCTTGGGAACACGCCAGCGTGGCGGGGATAAACACGGCGTCGCGGAACGACAGCGAGACACCCTCATGTAACGTCATTTTCGGCTGCTCCCACGAGTGATTATCCTAGTCTGTCAACGAGAAGCGATCGCCAACCGAGCAGTAGACGGATGTAAGATGTACTACTGCCAGTTGTAAAAGAATGGCATTCCACCCACCCAACACGGGAGGTGGCAACAGCAACAGTAAGGGCAGGAAGAGGATCAGCTGCAGCGGCAACCCTGGCAGAGGCAGCGTGGGGCGCTGCTTTTGCTGTTGCTGATGGGACTGGCAAGGCAAGGCAGTGCCTGTCTGTGCAGCAGGGGAGAAGGGGGGTAGGGTGCTGAAGGGGAGAAAGGGGGGATTGGGGTGATGGGGCGAGGAGAGTGGCGTTTGGAAATGGATGCATGCAGGAAGCTGTTTCGTTGCTCCCTCCCTCCCTGCTTGCTGCTGCTGCTGCTGCCTTATCCGTCGTGCGCTGCGCGCACCCCCAACTGTACAGTGAACACTTTTGTTGTGCGTTTCGACAAAGTATCCCAAACTCGTTTGACTGGATTTCTTTTTTAGCCCAAAGAGTATAGTTTCTGTTCCCCTAAGAGAGCACAAAACCCGGGAGATTCTTGGTTTTCCTTCCATTGGAAGGCAGGATCTGACACCCGAGAAGCCCACCAGGTTGGAATCATATGATGTTTGCCCACCATGGGTGGTGTTGTTGCACTTTCACTCCCTAAAACAAACAAATGAAGTGTACCGACTGCGATTAGCCCTTTCCTCCCAGCTCTTTCCAACTAACCTGGACTCGCACCCATCAATTCTACAATGGCATCAACCAATCACTGTTTTCCTCCCTCAGTAACGTTACTGTACATATGTCGTACAGTAACACGACACCCCAAATCTCCAGACCAATGGCACGTTCGAAAGTGCATTGTTCTTGGGCATTTATATGAGAGGTCACAAACACTAGGCGTAATATCACGTTTAGTCATCCGACTATCACGAACAGTCACTTTTAGTGGCGATCTATCACGGTTAGTCACACAGTTTTCAGGAGTCATCACTCGCTCGGGGCTAAGGCCATCACGTTCAGTCACAAGATGAAACAACCGCTAGAAAGCTGAAACTCCCGCCAAAAATTGCACGCGCGATGAGCTACAGTGTTCAGTCGCGTGTGGCCTCGTCCTTTGTGCGCGACTGATTTCCAAGTGATTTCGCCAGACTGTCAGCAAAACGGGAGTTACAGATGTAAGTTTGTAACCCATTCAATTTTTATGTCCTAATCCTTCCTAAACTATAAAGAAAACCACTTCGTGTATACACATGATCGGATCACAGCCCTAGTACCGCAAAAGAAGAAGAAAAAAAAAACCACATCGTGTATACATATAATAAATTCATAAACTTACATGAAAACCATCTTATTTTAAGCAAACGAATTATTCTGCCTACTTGTCTATGTGACTTGACCAAGCCTTCTGCCCTTTAGAAGGGTCAATCCCAGGCCTGTCGTTATCAGGGTATTTTACCCTGATTCCCTGATTTCACAGGGTATTTTTGTTGCCAACCCTTAATTTTTAGGATTGGGCTTTTTTGAACCCTAACCTCTTCAGGGTTGTATGTCTGTGAACACTGAGAATTTCAGGGTTTGCGTTATCCCAACACTGAGTTTTCAGGGAGTAACGCGTACGAACCCTGAGTGCGACATCCATGTGGCTCACAATGCGGAAATTTAGGCGAAGTCCCCAATCTCCAGAGACATTCCCCCCCACACGCAACAACCTACAAAAATTGGTGGAGTCCTCAAACATTCCCTCACACACCAAGCAACCCACAAAAATCGGCTAAGTCATGTGTCGTACAGACATCCCCCCTACACACTAACAACAACATACAAAAATTAGCTAAGTCTATGAAAATGTAACGGTCAAGATCGATTGCGATCGTTTCGACATACTTAAACCGTTAGATGGTCACATTGATCAACGTCCAAGATCTCCCAGCCGGGGCGCTGCTAGGGCGCGAATTTCTTCGACCGCCATATTACCCAGCTTCCCCCCTCCAATCCACTTCGATTCCTCCCTCCCCTCCATTTTCGCTCCCCCCACTCCCCCTCCGTTTCGTTTCCCCCCTCCCCTCCATTTTTATTCCCCCATCTCCCCTCCGTTTCGCCCCTCGCATCTTGGTTTTGATTCCCTCCCCCTTTCTTCCTTGGTTTCGACTCCCCCTCCCCTGCGTTTCGATCCCCCATTCCCCTCCGTTTCGATCCCCCCTTCCCCTCCGTTTCGATCCCCCCTTCCCCTCCGTTTCGATCCCCCCTTCCCCTCCGTTTCGATCCCCCCTTCCCCTCCGTTTCCCTTCTCCCATTCCTCGACTGTATTTCGAACTTCCCCCACCCCCCAACCCCCACTTTTTCCTTCCCTGTTTCGCTTCCTCTTTTCCCATATGTTTCCATCCTCCCCCTTCCCCTCCATTTCGCTCTCCCCCTCCCCTCGGTTTGATTCCCTCCCCCTTTTCCCCCCATTTTTTATTCCCCCCTTGTATTGAAGGCAACCCTGAACGCGCTCGGTGAACTCTGGGATTTTCAGGGTTTCAGATTTCTGAACCCTTACAAATCAGGGTAGGCAATTTTTGAAACCTGAGCCCTCAGGATAAACTTTTTTTTTATTCGATAGCTCAGGGGGGGTTTTTTTTAAACGTCAGGCCTGGTCAATCCAAACCCTGTGAAGTTAGAACAATAATGACACGGCAAGATATTCATTTCTTCTCTCTTATGACAATGGATTTGGAAATTGCAGGAAATATCAAACATCATCGCCTACATTCGTGAAGTTCCTGGGCTGGTAATTAAGGTTTTCTCATGAAAGAAGTCCAACTTACCGAACTTCGTCATTTTGCAGAATTGAAGACATCAGAATTGAATGAGTTACAAACTTACATCTGTAACTCTCGTTTCGCTGACAGTCTGGCGAAATCACTTGGAAATCAGTCGCGCACAAAGGACGAGGCCACACGCGACTGAACACTGTGCGAATCCTAACAGAAGCTCAGCGCGTGTGCAATTTTTGGCGGGAGTTTCAGCTTTTCAGCGGTTGTTTCATCTTGTGACCGAACGTGATGGCCTTGGCCCCGAGCGAGTGATGACTCCTGATAACTGTGTGACTAACCGTGATAGATCGCCACTAAAAGTGACTGTTCGTGATAGCCGAATGACAAAACGTGATAGCACGCCTAGTGTTTGTGACCCGTCATATAAATGCCCCTTGTTCCTCATTGACGACATGGAGACACGAATTGGCGAACTTGGTTGGGCCACCCTTTAGGCTGCGCTTGGGTTACTGTTCATTACCTTCATTGCACGCATGGAATCCTCGTTATTGAAGGTGCTACGGACAATAAGTCGGCAACACTTTCCCGACGGAAATGGGATAAAACACCAATTCGAGCTCTCCACCAATAACTTCACGCGTCTAAATATGGCCGCCATATTCGCATCGCCAAGCCACACCTCCTCGATTCCCGCCCCAAGAAAAGGCTCGTGCGTGGTCCCCTCCATCCATGCTCCGAGCTCCTCCGTGCCGCGACGCTCTCCGCGCGAAACGCCTCCGCCTTCCGCCACCGTTGCGCCTCTTAACACAGCCCCGTACGCGCACGTGCGCTGCGCGGCGGTTACAGCGCAGAGAAAGATACGCTGCTTTTTAAATCACCCCATTGAAGCGCAGAGGGCATGGGGGGAAAGTATAAGCGCACCGAAACTCCCCAGCAGCGATTTCCCGAAGCACCCGGGGAACTCCAATCGCAGGCGGCGGCGCTGCGGATTGCGCGCATTGGAGCATCCCGCCGCCAATCACGCCTCCAGAGTGCTCCGGGTCGAGTCGCGCAATCGGATCCTGTTCGAGCCGCACGAGGTGGCGCGGGATGGGCGCATCCAGCTGGCGGCATCTGATTCGCGCGCCCGCCACATGCGGCGCGTGCTGCGGGCAACCGTGGGGAAGAAAGTTCGGGTTGGCATCGTCAACGGCCCGGCCGGCACGGCTACAGTGAGTGTTTTGGGCGGCAGGGTGAGTGCTGGGGGGCGACATGGGGAATGGATAACCTAGAATACTAGGCAGTAACCCCCCCTTTCCCTGCCATCAGCCCATCCCTGAGTCTCTCCCCTTAACCTCTTTAACTACCACCTTCTGTCCCCAGCCCCATTTATCCGCCTCCTCCGCACCCCCTGCTTCCCCTCCCCGTGCCCTCTTCACAGGTTGTGCGCATTGGGCCGGGGAGGGGGAAGAGCAGACGGGGGGAGGGAGAGGAGAGGGAGGAGGAGGCAGAAGCGCAAGCAGAGGGCTCCCAAGCGGCGGGTGGTGAGGGGAGGAGCGAAAGGCAGAGTGCCAGCATCGTCCTCCTCGGTATGGGCGAGGATGGTGGGTCGGGTGGTGATGGGGGTGGTGATGGTGAGGATGGTGAGGATGTTGGGTTCCTGCTGCAATGCAACTTCCAAGTAACGCCCAACGCCACCACCATGCCGTCGAGTGTTACGATCCCGTCTGCTGTTACCAGCACAGCAGCAGCAGCAGCAGCAGCAGCAGCAGCAGCAGCAGGGACAACAACAGCAGCAGCTAGAGCCGGCACCAGCACGTCAACGCTTCTCCTTCCCTCTTCCTGCTCCTCGCACCAATCCCCATCTGCCACGTCACCGCATCACAGGCTGCGGCTTCTCCTTGCCATGCCCAGGCCAAAAGCCATGAAGCGACTCTGGTGAGAGTGATGTGAGTGAGAGTGGTGGGAGTGGAGGGAGTGGAGGGAGTGGAGAGAGTGGTGGGAGTGGTGGGAGTGGAGAGAGTGGTGGGAGTGGTGGGAGTGGAGAGAGTGGTGGGAGTGGTGGGAGTGGAGAGAGTGGTGGGAGTGGTGGGAGTGGAGAGAGTGGTGGGAGTGGTGGGAGTGGAGAGAGTGGTGGGAGTGGTGGGAGTGGAGAGAGTGGTGGGAGTGGTGGGAGTGGAGAGAGTGGTGGGAGTGGTGGAAGTGGAGGGAGTGGTGGGAGTGGAGAGTGTCCAGAGAGGTGGAGAAGGAGCGTGACGAGTCAGAGCATCTGACGGACGGGCCTCACTTCTCCCTGCTCACGGGTGAGGGCTGTGAGTACGGTGAGGGCTGTGAGTACGGTGAGGGCTGTGGGAGCGGTGAGGGCTGTGGGTACGGTGAGGGCTGTGAGTACGGTGAGGGCTGTGGGAGCGGTGAGGGCTGTGGGTACGGTGAGGGCTGTGAGTACGGTGAGGGCTGTGGGTGCGGTGAGGGCTGTGGGAGCGGTGAGGGCTGTGGGAGCGGTGAGGGCTGTGGGAGCGGTGAGGGCTGTGGGTGCGGTGAGGGCTGTGAGAATGGTGGGGGACGGGGGGTGTTGTGGTGATTTGTCACCGCAGTGGTTGCGTGGTAGAGAGCTGCACAGGGAGGGAGGGGGAATGGACAGGGAGGTTGAGTTAGCAGCGTTGCTGATAGCATAGAGACAACCTACAGTATTCCATGTGGTGTTACGGATACCATAAATGCAAACATGTACTCATGTATCCCTGCTCCCTTGCATTCATGTAAATGTCTGTATTGGCAAATGGGGGATGCATGACGGCAACAGTGCAGGTCTATTCTCGGGCAGTTTGCCCTCCAGGACGTCATCATTTGCAACGCTGCCCGAGTCGAAAGGTGTTATTTCGACAGCCAGGCACTGCTGCCCGATGTTGTTCGCCGGGAGCTTCTGATTGGTGCAGAGCAGGTGAGGGGGCAGAATAAATGTTTTCACGAGGAATGCTGCATGTCCCTCATTTTCACTTTGAGTCGGCTCAAAAGCATGACATGCAGTATTCCTCGTGAAACTGTCTATACATCCGATACATCCAATACATCTATACATCCAATACAATCTATACATCCAATACATCTATACATGCGATACATCTACACATCCGATACATCTATACATACAATATATCTATACATCCAATACAGTCTATACATCCAATACATCCGATACATCCATACACCATCTATAAATCCGATATATCTATACACTCAAAAGCATGACCCTCATCTGTGCCTTGCCTTGCCATGACATGCCATGCCTCGCGTTTTCTAGTCCCTGCTTTACCCCATCATGCCACGTGTCCTCATCCTACAGGTCGGCGACACGCACCTTCCATCCGTCTCCATCCATCTGCAACTGAAGAAGCTTCTCTTCACCTTCCTCTTCCCCCACCTGGACGATCTCGAGCGCCAGAGCCAGCTGGACCAATCAGAAGCTCTGCATGCCACCGCTTTTACAGTTGATGCTAGCGCGGCGACTACCGATGCTGATACGAGTACTACTAATAGTCCTGCTGTTGCTGTTGCTGCTGAGGGAGCAGGTACCATCAGAGCCGTGAGCCCATCGCCACCACCCCCACCGCTTCTTGCTGTTGCGCCAGTCTCTTCGGGGACCCTCCTACTGCTGGCGCACCCAGGCAGTGAGGAAAAGGGCAGTGGTGGGGAGGCCAGTGGGGCAAGCGCAGCAGAGAGTGAGGAGGATACGGCTGGTGGAGGGACAATGAACGGAAGGTCTACAAGCATCCGAGAGGCAGTAGCACGGCATGGTGAGGGGTTTTCTGACCATCCGAATGCTCTGATCCATCCTGCCCCCTCTCCTTCCATCCTGCCCCCCCTCCTTCCATCCTGCCCCCCCTCCTTCCATCCTGCCCCCCCTCCTTCCATCCTGCCCCCCCTCCTTCCATCCTGCCCCCCCTCCTTCCATCCTGCCCCCCCTCCTTCCATCCTGCCCCCCCTCCTTCCATCCTGCCCCCCTCCTTCCATCCTGCCCCGCTCCTTCCATCCTGCCCCCCTCCTTCCATCCTGCCCCCCCTCCTTCCATCCTGCCCCCGCTCCTTCCATCCTGCCCCCCCTCCTTCCATCCTGCCCCCCCTCCTTCCATCCTGCCCCCGCTCCTTCCATCCTGCCCCCGCTCCTTCCATCCTGCCCCCCCTCCTTCCATCCTGCCCCCGCTCCTTCCATCCTGCCCCCGCTCCTTCCATCCTGCCCCCCCTCCTTCCATCCTGCCCCCCTCCTTCCATCCTGCCCCCGCTCCTTCCATCCTGCCCCCGCTCCTTCCATCCTGCCCCCCCTCCTTCCATCCTGCCCCCGCTCCTTCCATCCTGCCCCCGCTCCTTCCATCCTGCCCCCCCTCCTTCCATCCTGCCCCCGCTCCTTCCATCCTGCCCCCCTCCTTCCATCCTGCCCCCGCTCCTTCCATCCTGCCCCCCCTCCTTCCATCCTGCCCCCGCTCCTTCCATCCTGCCCCCCTCCTTCCATCCTGCCCCCCCTCCTTCCATCCTGCCCCCCCCCTCCTTCCATCCTGCCCCCGCTCCTTCCATCCTGCCCCCGCTCCTTCCATCCTGCCCCCCCTCCTTCCATCCTGCCCCCGCTCCTTCCATCCTGCCCCCGCTCCTTCCATCCTGCCCCCCCTCCTTCCATCCTGCCCCCCTCCTTCCATCCTGCCCCCCGTTCCTTCTTTCGTTCTGCCCTCCGTGCCTCGTTTCTTGATATCCCTGCTCCCCTCCCCATTTCTCCAATCTCAGGCGTCTCCTTCCTTCATACTTCGCCTCCCTTCTTCTTTCTTTCGCCTCCCTCCCTCCCTTCCTCCCATCCTCCACTCTTCCAACGATGTGATTCTATTGCTCCCTCCTCCTCGTCCTCCCTCCTTCAGAGCGCCTTCTTCCTCCCAGCCTCCGTGCCTCCTACGATGTGGTGCTCGCAGTGGGCCCAGAGGGCGGCTGGTTACCCTACGAGTTACACCTCTTTTCAAGGCTCGGCTTCCGCCATGTGGCGCTGGGGCAGAAGCCACTGCGCACCGATGTGAGTCTCTGTACTTGAAATCACACACAGGCGCTGCATGCCTTGCCCCAGGGGAGTAACTCTCGATGCTTGTGAGTTCCCTCCTCAGTGCTCCGCTTACACCAGGTGGTGGGGCAGAAGCCACTGCACACCGATACAGTCCATGTGCTCGTCCCTGTTGTTGTTCCTTGCGTGCGTGAGGAGTCTATTTTTTAGGCGCCTCAAAAATAGACTCCGGTACAGTCCGTGTGCTTGTCCCTGCTGTTGTTCCTTGTGACACAGCAGTGCACTCACATTCCCTCCTGTTTGCTACTCCCTCTCATCCTGCTCCTCCTTCTGCTCCATCTGCGCCGCATGCCCCCTGTCATTATCCCAGCTGCCTGATCTGACCCTCACACCATCTTTCCGTCCAAACTTACCTCTCTGTTATGCCATTCCTCCTTCCACACTTACGGGGTCTCCCCGTTTTCCTGCCTTTGCTTGTGCGCAAAGCTTTATTTATGCCCTTACATGCATTCCCTTCCCATGCTTGTGTTGGTACTGTTTGCATTTGCATCGACCATGCAGGTGGCCCTGGTGGCTCTTCTCTCCCTGCTCAAAGAGGAAATGAATGAGTGGTGAATTGTGATGCAGCGGGTGACTGAATAGAGGTAGATCACTACCTGGTGGTGGTCGAGTCGCAGATGAAATCCATGACTGGTGAATCATAATGACTGGTGATCAGCTATGACATCAATTGCCAGTGGCAGATTTTGTAACGCTGTGCAGCATCTGCGAGCGCTATTGCAGGGCATTATACATTCGCGCTAACGAAAGCAGGTCACACCTGTTTGAACCAAACCGTGTATTTACAATAGTGTTGTACACAGAAGCAGTAGCATCACATCACACCCACACCAATACACCTCATCACTGCCTCATCATCAGTGTGCTGCCTGAAGCATCAGCAGCAGTGGCAGGATTCGCACTGGCAGCGCCGGAGGCAAAAACTCTCAGAATAATGCAATGAACAAGAATGAGTGATACATGGTGGTTTTGTCTTAAGGAGTTGTACTCTCTATGAGCATGCACCTATATAGCCTATAACAATATACAAATATATGTAGGCTAGACCAAGGGCAACGACTAACAAGAGACAAGCAGCTAAGGGTGGCATTGCTAGTCCAACCTCTGACGCAAGGGTCTGGAGACCAGTCTGCAAGAGTCCACAGGAAACAAGAGTAACCCAGGGCAGCACTACTAGTCGCTGGAATAGGAGCCACAAGGCCAGTCAAGGTAATATAAGATATAGTACACAATCAAGGTCCTAGCAAGTAAGAAGCTGCAGGAACTACACCAAGCTGTACACACTGTCGCTGATGATCTTTAGGCGCACTCGCCTTCGAAAAGATATCAACTGTGTAGGCACTAGAGGCAAAGTACTACGCGGGCCTGGCGGCGCTGCTGTGGCTCGCGCAGGAGGAAGTACCGCCGCTGGATGTGCTTCGCTCTGCCCTCCAGTCGAGGCTCCTGACACATGAGGATCATGGCCCTGTTGTCAGCGTATAGGACTGGGGCAGAGCTAGGCCGCTCACCAAAGTATGTGAGCAAGAAAGTCAGCCAGCGGAGCTCCTGTGCCACCATGGCACCAACGAAGGTCTCAGCCTCACAGCTAGACTGGGTCACAGACGACGAGCGAGTGGAGCTCCACGAGATGGCGCCTGCACCAAGGTAAAGCTGTAGCCCTGGGAGGACCTGAGCGTCTCAGGGTCGTTTGCCCACAAAGCGTCTGTTTACCCTATAAGGACCACAGGCCTGCGTCCTCCTAACACTAGCCCCATGCCCGATGTACTTGCTAGATAACGCAAAACCCTCTTAGCGGCCGACCAGTGATGTGGTCAGTGTCTGCCTGTAGCCACAAAATGAGTCAGGATGCTCAGAGAGTATGCGAGATCTGGACGAGTGCAAGTCATCAGGTACATGAGGCAACCCACCAGCTCTGCGTAAGGATTACTAGGCTCTACAGACTCCTCAAGAACTAGAGCCAAGAGCCTGTAATGTACTGGCAGATGTGTGGGCTGTACGGAGGAGAACTGAAGACTGAACCTCTTAAGGACCTGGCGCACCAAGTGTGACGGTGTAAGAAAGATGGTGCGCACTCCTCTGTCCCTGGATATCTGTAGGCCAAGGTAGTGGCGCAGCTCTCCTAGGTCAGTGCAGGTGTGTCTCATTTCAGCAGTTCAGCCTTCACAAAGGCCAGTGCGTCTCTGTCTGCAGTAGTGAAGATGAGATCATCTACGTAGATAAGGATGTAGAGCAGGGTCTGGCCAGAGCAAATGAAGAGCGAGGGGTCTGGAGATGATGGGAAGAACAGTAGGTCAGTTAACGTAGCACGCAGCGTATCGTGCCACTCACAGGGCGCCTGCCGCGGGCCGTAAACCAGGCGATGGAGGAGCTACTCGATACCAGGGGCGAAGGTGCCGGTGAAGCCGGACGGACGGCGCAGGTAGACCTGCTCATGCAAGCTGCCCTGGAGAAACGCTGTGGAGAAGTTGAGGGAGTGCAGCTCGTAGTCACGCTATGCTGCTACGTGTAGCACTGCCTGAAGAGTGGTCATCTTCGGGGTTGGGGCGAAGTTATGAAAGAAGTCAACACCCTCTCGCTGATTGAAACCTCTAGCAATGTAGCGCGTTTTGAATATCGGCGGCTCTCCAGGAGGGCGCTTCACCTTGAAGAGCCACCGGTCATTGGCTACGTTCACCCTAGGTGGGGGAATTGCGTCGACGTAGGTTCCGGTGGATCTCAAAGATGCCATATCCGCGTCCATGACAGCTATCCACTGAGAGGCTCAAGGTCCCGAGGTAGCCCCATCGTAAGTGCGAGGGGTCGGGATGTCAAGGGCGTCTAGGTCACTCGCAGGGAGTAGCAACATGGGGCAGAGATGGGGAGCGGCCTCGGACAGGAAAGCGACCTCGTATTGCCTGTCCTCTAGACCATCAATGCTAGAGGCTGGTGCAACCTCGACAGACGGGGGCCGAGCAGGGTCAGAAACCAGCACGGTCGCGTACTCAAGGCGGAGAGTAGAGGCGAAGTGAGCGACGGCAGTGACAGGTGACGGCAGCGACGGAGGCGGCTTTTGCGGCGGCAGCGGCGACTGCGGCTGCGGTGGCGGAGGAGGAGCAACTGGAGCAGAGATAGTCCGCAAACTCGGAGCTGCGGGGCCCCCTGAGTCGGCCAACTCCTCCACCGGGACGACCAACGGGAGGGGAGTGACGTGAGATACACCAGACATGGCAGGACGGGGAGGGAGAGGAGTAGGTGCTACTGGGAGAGTGGGGACTAGGAATAGGGGCGGGGCAACCGTGAGACCTCGGTGAGGAAAGCGGGTGTAGAAGGACATAGACTCGTCAAAAGTGACATCGCGAGAGTGAAAGAAACTGTGAGATTGCAGGTGGTAAAAGTACCAGTTAGACGCGTCTAGGAGGAAGCCAAGGAAGACACAAGGGACAGTGCGGGCAGTGAGCTTGTCCGTGCCAGAGGCACGAACATAAGCAAGGCAACTCAAGACGTGGAACGCAGACGCGTCACCAGGGGACCCAGTCCAGAGGAGGGTCGGCAAAAACTGCGGCCGCTGGGAGTGTGGCCACATGTTAAGCTGGTGAGCGGCATAGCGAACAGCCACCGGCTACAGAAAATGGGGTGCAGCAACATGGATCATGGAGGTACGAGCCACCTCCATGACCAAACCACTGCGTCGCTTAGCAACATCATTCTGCTGCGGGGAGACTGGCAGGGTGTACGACAGGGTGATGCCCTCCGCACGACAGAACTGGCCAAGCCGACCAGAGGCGAGCTCGCCGCCACGGTCGGAGTGAAGACACAGCACAAGGAGGCCGCAGTTGTCACAGGATCGAATGTCCCGAGGAAAGGTTTATTCAATGTTGCACTATCAATCAGTACAAGGTGCCTTTATACTTCCAGAGTACATCAGGTAACCAGGTTTATCTTATCCAAAGGGAATAGACCCTTCTAGAAATAGAATCACCATGCGTATAGCCACGCGAGGCTATTGGCTTTAAGGGATTACGGCAGGATTACGCTAGATATAGCGCGCCGGTACATCCCGAGCCTGGTCGGTGATATAATCATAATAATAAGATAAACCAAAGGATAATGGAAAAGGAGGAATAGGAAACCAAATGAGATGAGATAAAGACCAAATGAATCAGGATAAAAAGAGGAATAAAATAGAAAGGAAATATGGAAAGGGGAAATTGGTGTAACGGGGTTGTACTCTCACACTTCCCCCCCTCAAAGCTGGGTGGTGGAAGTAACACCCTGCTTGACAAGGTAGTCGCGAAGAGGACGACGGGCATTACCCATGTTGAATTCAGAGACGCAGCCTCAGAAGGATCACTACCCTTCCAGCAAAGAAAAAGTGCCAGAGTGCCATGCTGACGACGACGGCTTCCGAGCACGTAGTTATCCCATGGCGTGGATGAACACAGGCGGCGACGGTGGTTGGCATTCGTTGTAGAGCGTGTTTGGTCTCGATGGGGTTTAAGAAGCTGGTATGGAAGGCGTTATGGATCTTCCAAGGGGCTAGTTGGCGGAAGCGGAAGATGAATGAAGTGACCTTTGCTTCAACGAGAAAAGGCCCGCAGAAGCGAGGCCGCAGTTTGGATTGGAGATGGCCGATATCAAGATTGCACGTGTCAAGCAGTACTCGGTCTCCCACGATGATGGTGTGGTCTGTGCGGTGGCGATCGGCCTGGCGCTTCTGTTGTTGCTGAATGTCGAGAAGGCGCTTGTGGGTCCGATCCCAAAGTTTGTGCATGGTCGTGATGATATTGTAAGCCAGTTGGACTGTAGCAGGAAGTGTCTGTTGCTACGGAGTCAGCAAATAGGGGTGTTGTTGGAGCTACGCGGAGTCCACTGTCCGGAGTGGCGTCGGCGCTCCATTTTACGCCTATCTACTTCCGTGGAGGTGGTGCTGGTGATGAATTGGTTGCGACGCAGGTTTTATGACTTTAAGGAAAGCCATAGGCCATGGGGACTTATATACCGGTAGAGTACCGTAGTCCTCCCATCCTCATAAGAGCAAATATCTCCTTCTCTTGAGGGTATATGGCATTGCCATGTTGTTCCCTCGCATAGTGGTATCTCCTTCCCACTAGCTGGAAATCATAGTATTGTGCCTGGCCGGGACTTCACGATCATACTGGAATATGATCCAGCGTTATCTCCATTGAGCGGAGAATCATCCATCAGGATTTGGTTGTGACTGTTGTGTCGAGTCTTCTGCTGCGGCGGCGGCGGCGGTAGCGACGATGGCGACGGCGGCAATTGCTGCAGAGAATTCTCTTAAATCGTAATGGTTGAATGAGAATCCATCAACTCCCTCTTCCTAGTAGAGTGTTCCTGATGGGTGTAACAGGCGTAACTACCAGGAACACGTGCACATTAGTACACATGTGTTGCTCCATTGTTGCCGGTAATTGTTTCATTTGAGGGTATGAAGAGAAATTTGCTTCTCCCCTCAATGTATCCACGGGTAGCAATTCCTGGTATGCTCATCCGTGCCTCCGATGTACGGTCGGTAGAGCGCGTGATCGTGTTGTAGTAGTCCGCATCTCCCTCATTTGTTGACACCCCGTGTTGCTTGGCGTTCTCCTGCATCATCGAAGTTACGCTGATGCTTGTAACGCTTCGGCTTCTGGTAGAATCGCTTCCAATGCATGTGTCGTAGGGTCGCTAGTGAACGAGTACTTGCCGGATTAGAGGTTAATTACTCCTCAATCTGTCAAGCATCGTGACATGCACGGAAAATTTTCCACGCAGGTCATTAACACCTGGAATCGCGACGCATGATTGGTGTG